AAGATTTTTGCAGCTTACACTTTCATTGTTCCCCCCATGCATTTGCATAATCCCCCCCCCCCCCATTTCAGAACTGGCACAAGTTTTCTTTTTCAGATTGCTCTGCTAGAAATTGAAAAATGGAGTTCGTGCAATAAATGTGAATTACATTTTAATGCCAATTATCAGTATCAGGAACAAATTAGCTGGGTGACTAATATGGTGATTAACGTGGAGCATTTCTCCAAAAAGAAAATGTAATACTGTTACATGAGCAAAATGTATTTTTGTCTCTTTTGTTGTGCAGGGCCAGAATGCTCCAGAAACTTCACATCTATGACCGGTACCATCAAATCACCAGGATTCCCTGAAAAATATCCCAATACCCTTGAATGCACTTACATTATCTTTGCACCAAAGATGTCAGAGATTATCCTGGAATTTGAAAGCTTTGAATTGGAACCAGATTCAAATCCTCCAGGAGGCGCATTCTGTCGTTACGATCGTTTAGAAATTTGGGATGGATTCCCAGAAGGTAAGACTCCCCCCAATAGCTGTTGTGATGTTACCAGTGCTATGGTTTGTTGTCATTTTGAAACAACGGTGGTTAAAATTAGGAGATGAAGAAGAATTGTTTGAATATTGTCTTCGAAATATGTCCAAATTTGTAACTAATAAGGAAGGCATTAGGCTTTATCAGGGACAAAGAAGGCAAGCAGAAACACAACCTTGTGTTGAGTTTCCTGTGCTATCCATCAAATGAAATACAATTCTGCTTGTATTTTAATGTCATTAAGTTGAACATTTGGGTACTCTGGGCTAAATATGGTCATGATAAATGGTTGTAAAATTTTTCACAAAATAATGATATAAAGACACAAGGTTAATTCAATTATACATTATAGAGTGGTGCAGAACTTGATCCTGCTAACATAGAGTTCTGCTGTAACAATGATCTTATGTCAAACTCTAGCTGATGCAGGATAAAGGGATTTATTTTACACATTGTTAGCACTAATGGAGAGAGGATAAATGGTGTTTTACTACTGCTGTTGGTAAGTTTAGATTACTGTGATGTGTTCTATATGGAGCTACCCTTGCTCTCAGAAATTGCAGCTGTTGTAGAATGTGGCAGACATGACACATTTTTTGAAGAAAACACATTAGCTGCCAAGTGGCTATTAAGCCAAGTTCAGGGTTTTGTTTTTGGCATAAAAGGTCCCCACAAATTTGGAATAGGCCTCTGCAGATTTGGTCAATCCCTGAAATTGGTGGAGAGGTCTTTCTGGACATGCCAAAAACCATATAGTGCCACTTGCAGCCACTTATGGGTGTGGTTGTTCCCGTGGTATCTCTGAACTCTCTGAAATGGTCCTTTCTGAAGCTTGCGAGGCACCTAATATTAGATATTTTAAATTCCTTTTGTATTTCTTCTATGAAACCTGGATGAATGTCTTTGTTTCGGTTTTTGTTTTCCTTTCCCCTCTCCTTTTTTGTTGTATGCAGTTTTCATAGTATTCCTATTGTAGATGTTATATTTGTAAGCTGTTTAGAGATGTTTTTATATAGGAACTGGTATAAAATATATGCAATAATAATATTATATAAAATTATTATAATCATCCCTAATGTCAGAGGTGGCTCCAAGGCCGCTGCATAAATCCATCCATACTCTTCATACTCTCTTTGGCATTCAAGTACACACATGCAAAATCCATTGCTCATGCTTACCTGGCCTGGCTTTGCAGAACATTCTGTATGATCCCAGGCTCTGAGTTTACACTTTGCTTGTTCTCCCCCTCATACCCGCCACATCACAAACCATTATTTGCAAGTTGTTGCCAACACATTGTTCAGCCAACCCATTCTTCTTTCTCTTTTTCCTCACCCACTATGGATTACAATTACTTTCAGGAGGCAGTTACCACCAGCTGAGTGAGTGTGAAACATGATCTGAGATGCAAGGGGTATGGTTCACTTCTCACCCAATGAGGCAAGAGAGAGGGAAAAGTTGGGTTCTTGGGGTTACAAAGCAGCTATCATCTATTAAAACTAAGCGAGGGGAGATTACAACCAAAATCCACAAAATGTTGTTAAATTGCAGAATTCACTGTCATCAGATATACTGATGGTCACCTTAGGAGATCTGAAGAAAGTTGGAGAAATTCATGGCAGAGCAGGCTATCAGTGGATATTAGTGTTGATGGCTACAATATATGATTATCTCCTGAATCATAGGCAACAGCATACAACACCAGTTCCAGGGAAATAAGTCAAAGAGAGTTATCATCTTCCAGTCCATGCTTCTGAGGTTCTTGAATGCATCTGACTGACAACTGGTCTGGTCAGGCCAAATGTTGGATTAGATGGATTTTTAGCCTGATCCAGCAGGACTCTTTATTTTCCTACATACATCCCACTTTTGAACAAGAAGAAGCTTACCCAGAATTAAATTTCCTCATAGTGTCTTTGTGATAAAGGGTTTGTTTGCATATACAGGTAGTCCCTGGGTTAAGAATGCCCTGGTTACAGATGACCCATAGTTAAGAATGGAGTTTATTGTAGCAAAATTTGAGTTAAATACACAGTGATTAAAGTTAAATACACAATGGTTTGAGTTCATTACACAATACGACTCAGACGGTGTTATACAATAATACTGTTCCAGTTTACATGCCAATATGACTTAAGGACAGACCTTGGGAACAGAACTCGTTCTTAAACTGGGGACTACCTGTACATACAGACTGAGAATAAGAGGATTAAGAACAATAACCCTTATGAATATTCTTCATAGGATTTCTAGAGTAATTAATGCTTTAGGATTTCTTCCAAAGATCAAAGGTCCTCCTTTTCTATCCCAAGTTTAGCCCAGACTAATTAGGCTAGTCTTTTCTTTTTGCTCTTGTGTGTAAAAAAGTGGATAATCTCTATCTGTCATCAGCCATCCCATTTCTCTTTTGAGGCTATTGAAAAAAAATCTCAGTTATTAACTGGCATTCCTCAGAGCACTAACTCTGACAACAGAACACAAAATCAAAACTGTAGATCATGATTTACAGAAAAAAGGCAACCCGGTAGTGTTATTCTTACCAAGTCCCTGAAGTCACAACAGTATGCACACTTTTTTTTTTTTTTTTGGTTGTATAATTTCAATTTGTAGAGTCATATTTTTGAATTTACTCCCCTTGTAAAAATTTGCATGCATGAAATAAAACTCTGTATCACATACAGGTACTCCTTGTTTAGCGACCACAATTGGCACCAGCAACCTGGTTGTTAAGCAAAGTGGACACTAAGTGAAAAATCACATGACTGCAACTGTGCTTATGATTTTACACAGGATAACACATACTGACTGTAATGGTGATCACATGACTGACAGAGAGAGAGAGACACTGCAAAGGTCATAAATGTGGGCATTGGCCGCAAAGTTACTTTTTTATCACTGTCATAAATGCGAACTGTTGCTGTCCAAGGCAGTTATTAACAAGGACTACCTGTACAGTGTTGTGAAATAGTTTTATATGTGTAAGAGATTTATATAAATGATTAGATAGGGATCTTTTTTTTTAAATGACACACATACACCCTTGTCCACTTGTAAACTGAATTAATATATCAAAATTCTATTGCATTTTTGGTGATGTATCAGTTGATTCTTATTTTAAATCAAATGTTAATATTATTTTGCTGTTTTTGACTTATAGTTAATTTTGAGAATATTCTTCTGGAACACATTTTAAAAATGTGCTGGTGTTAGACCTAATACTGCAACAGGAATTCTGGAAACACTGCGTTTTAATAAACCTTTGAGAATAAATTGCAGTCCAGTTTTCATCCATGTATATGTTTTTAGGAGTAAATAGGTTCATTGTGTATGTGTGTGTGTGTGTTTTTTAATCTTCTTTAGTAAGTAACAATGCAGCAGGAAAAGCAATCACTGAAGGACTGTCTAGTATTTACTTGTCCATTGCAGTAGCTTTATAACATATTGTAACTATGCCCTAAATATAACAATAGGCTTTTCTCTGCTACAAAAAGGTTTATGTGTGAATACCTGTAGAAATCTTTACTTCCACTGATATGTGGAAAAAAGACTAATTAGCCAAATTATTTAAAATATTTCTACAGAGATTAGTGTCAAGGTTATTGTCCCTAAAGTAGTAATTTTCTGGTTCAAGAGAATGATAGAACTGAAACCATTATGTGCAAGTATTATAGTTTTTCTAATCTATCTTTGAATTAAAAATGTCCTTTATTTAAACTGTAAACATTTTAAAACATATATTTCTGTAACTACCTATCCATTATATCTTTTCTTGGATGATAACAGTTTCAGAATGTTCATTATTTACCATGCGTAGACATATATATCATCTTTTAATATGAACCGTTATTAAATATTTCATATTAACTTTTTCCATTAAACCAATGATAATAAATCTACTGGGCATAAATAGTCTATTAACAACTAGGCTATGCCTGGTTCAGAAATGATTTGGAGGAAATACTTCAGACCTTGCACAAGCTTGAGTGCAGTACCTGTTTGCTATTCATTAAAGCAGCCTGTCATTTTTCAAGCTTCCATGTGAAAATAAAAAAAGACATAGCTGCTTTAAGAGTTACATTAACTTTAATTAGTTTTTTTAAGTAGCTGTATCTTTTTTTCAGACTTGCATAGAAGACTAAAAAAAATGAAGAGTTGCTTTAATGAATAATAGAGAGGGCTCTGCTCATGTTCCAAAGCAATTCTTTTAAATCATTTTTGTAGCATTCACAGCCTTATTAACAATAAGTATAGCATTGGACAATATTTTGCTATCATGGATTTTAGTCTCTTTGCCAAAGTATTTTATCAAAGAGAGCATATTCTCTTTTATGGTTGTAGAAAATTAACGTTGAACTTCAGAATGTTCAAAGAAAAGCCCAGGAGAAGCTATCCTGGAAAATCAAGTATTTCCATGTTTTTCTGGTTTTTGTAGTGTGAGTCTTTATAGGACTTCATCTGTCAAGGATAGGCTTCCACTATTTCATAACAGAGCTCCTTGCTTTCATCACTGCACAGCATGCCTAAATCAATTAATTAAGAACGTTTCTTGCAAGTACCTCAAGTCAATGCCACAAAATGATATGTAACCTCGAAAATGACATTTCTGAGGTCAACATCCATCTACATCTTCTTTGTTAGTGTATGATCTGCTTTTAGCATGCCATTGCCAATAAATTCATTTTATAAAACATTTTCTGGATATTGGCCATCTTACTATTTAATCAGAAATCATAAGAGATACAAGTTCTATAGGAGAAAGGGCAGAAGGGTAGTACAATACTCCATAAAAGTGATTTGTTTTTTGTTCCAGGGAAAGAAGCAACATTATGGATGAGGGAGAGATGCTTTGGACAACCTGGGTCTATTAGATTTGTCACATTTCCATTTATTCTAATGGAAAACGTAACCATGGCTTCATCCTATTCAAGCAATTGGATTATAGTATGCCTGTGTGAAATCTCCAAAGTGTCATTCAGCTGCTT